AAACTCTTCTTGAGGGTGAGCAGCAGCAGCTGGAGACCCTGGAGGACCCAGAAGATGATGACGGAGAAGAAGCTCCTGCTCTTCCCTCAGGCATATCGGAGGCGTCTCCAGATCTTCAGGGGATGGATTCTTTTCTACGGTGGAATCGGGGAGCCTTTCATCCTCGGAGTTGGGACAAAGGTATTCTGTTTCCCTCTGCATGTTAATCATTGCATACCTTTGTCTTGATTACCACTATTCACTTCTCTGTTTTGTAATAACTTTATGTGTAACGTCCGATTCGTTCTAATTGTGTGACTGCACCAGCAATGTATTTTAGACCCTTTATGCCTCATTTAAGCTGCTTTTTCATCTTTTTACAGTGGACCCTGGACTTACAGTTTTAATCTGTATTGGAAAAGTCAAAAAGTCCGTAGGTCAAGGGTCCATTTCCCATAGGAATGCATTGAAAACCTCTTAATACGTAACCCAACAAAGAAAAAACACCCCACACCAAAAAAAGAAAATAAATGCAAAAAGCAACACCTTACCGGTCCGAAAGGGTCTGTCACCGCCGCCATCACCACTGCTAAAGCTCTCCAAGGGCTTCCCCACCACTGACGGAGGCCTCACGGTGATCCGGGGCTGCCGCCATTGCCACTGCAGAAGTCTGCGCGGACTTCTCCGCCGCCATGGGAGGCCTCTCGGAGGTATACCAGGCGTAGCAGGGGAAGTCTTCCCCTGGTAGGCCCAGTCTATCAGGCTTTCCCGTTGGGTAAGCCCTCTCCTGGTAGGCCCGGTAGGCCCTGGGAAAGCCGGTGGTGGTGGATGACCAGAGAAGCTCTGGAGGCATGATCAATGGAGAGGGGGGCCTCTGGAGGCCTTCCATGGCTACTCCACTGCCATGGGAGGCATCTCGTAGGGCCCTATGCCGATCGTGCTTTGGAGGCCTCCAGCAGCGCCGGGGGAGCCTCCAAGATACCTCCCTTTGCAGCGGAGAAGCCGTGGAAGTCATCCAGAGGCACGATCGGTGCCCTACGGACCGAAAGGGGGAGGCGGTGGAAGCGCCAGATTCTAATTTGGCGCTTTCCACGCCTTCCCCTTCCGGTCCATAGGTCGATTCTCCGGCCACAAGTCGAAGTGAAATTTTGTGGCCGGAGAAGTCTGGAACTCGAAAAGTCTGCAGGTGGAGCTGTCTGTAAGTCGAGGGTCCACTGTAATGTGCTGTAAGGGTACTCAGAGATGGTTTACCCTTTCCCTTTTTTGTGTGGATGCTTTCCAAAAGTTCAGTGTTTACTGCTTTTATGCCTCTTATGTATGGATTGGAAGCAAAACAGAACAGGAGTTTGCCAAAAATTGTTTTCATTCAATGATCTTTCTGGTGTAGTACCTGATCCATTGTTTTCAGAACACTTGTAGTAAACAATACCTTCATGACGTCTGTTTAAAAGTGCTTTTCTTTTAGGGCAATTGGGATGGGGATTTCTATACACCCCTATGATTTTTTTAATGCTCCTGAACAGAAAAGGTAGCAAATTCTGAGACAAGGTTACAAAGGACAATGGGGCACCTGTAGGATCGAACCCCTGAACTCTAGAGCCACACTCCACTCACTGATCTCTCCATCCAGCTATACTTGGCTTAGAAAAACACTTTTCTTTCTGTTAGGAACTTTTGCATTTCCATCTTCTTTTTCATTCTCCTTCCAGGCAAAATAAATGTTCTTGGACTTAAGTGCTTAGTCATTGCGCTCATTGTTTGTTCAGGTCCACCAAAAAGTTTTAGCACTGAGACCCGAAAACTGATTCTGTACGTCAAGAAGGTTGAAACCCAGGTCATGAATCATAGAATCAAATCCATCAAGTCCAACCTCCTGCTCAACTCAGTAATATAATTGTGATGTACTGTTTTTTTTCAGCACAGAAAGGGGAGGCAGCAGGAAATTTGCTTATCGATAGATATTTTCCACATTAAATGGCAAAATCCTTTAATCACCATGAATTCTCTCCTTTTACAATGCATAAGTCCTATCATGAAGAAAAGAGTTTTTTTAAAAACTTGCTGGATGGAGAAACTAGTGAGTGGACTGTGGATCTGGAATTCAATGGTTCGAGTCCCCATGATAGCGCATGGGACTTCGTAACTTTGTCTCATATTTTCTACCTTTTCTGTTCAAAAGTGTTAGAACAATTATAGGGGGGTATAGAAATTACCCCCAAATTATTTTTCTGGATTTTCTGGCTTTCTCCATAATCCAGCCCATGTTAGCAATTTGGTCTCTAGTTCCTCTGCCCCTTTGAAATTCAGTGTGTAGCACTAAGACCGGAAAACTGATTCCTGAAAATCCTCAGACTTCTGTTGTTTAAGAAGGTGGAAACCCAGGTCACGAATGATTGCGATCTACTGTTTCCTCAGCACAGAAAAGGAGGCA